CACATTAAAATTACAATAAAATGCAAGTTATGCTCTTATTCATACTAGATAGACAGAGGGACCACAGCCGAGTGGTAGAGGATCTGATATGCATCCCAAAGGTCCCACATTAGATTTCTAGGTAGTGGTATAAAAAATCTGCCTGAAAGAATCACTCCTACTCAAAAAGGACAGTTCTGATTTAAATAGCATTTCTGTGGAAGGCAACTTCAAATAGATATCATAGCTCTGTGGCAGATCCCATGGTTTGAACATAGACTGTTCTAGATTAAACCCAAATGCTCCATCTGGAGAGCTACTGCCACTCATTTGGGTTAGATAAATCAGTGGTTCAAGTTAGCTTCAGCAACATTTCTAAAAAAAAAATCTAAGTATTCAGATTTTATATTTTTGGAAAGAGCTAGAATTATCATAATCAGATCTGCTTGTGGGTATGGCTACCAAATCTGGCCTGCAGATATCTGGTTGAACACTAGATGACAGCAAAGCAGTGAAGTTTTCTGTTTTCTGCCTTTCTTTGCTGCTATCTAGAGGTGATTTGGATTTTTGCAGTCCAGCTTTAGTTATGAGAGCTGAGAAGTACTCCTGATCTATAAATATCTTGCTGAAATTAATGGCTATTGAATCAAATAAACGATTGTGTCAGACCTATGTTTGCTTCTCTTTATTGTTACAAATATCTCTTGTTGGCTCTTAGGTGACCGAGTGCTTTCTGTTAATGGGATCACATTGGAAGGAGCAACACATAAACAAGCTGTGGAAATCATGAGAAACACTGGCCAGGTAGGAAACAACAGCTGTCTTGATTTTGGTTACTTTACATTATTATAATCCCAGGAAGGAATAAGAAACCATATTGAAACTTATCTTCAGTCACATCAGCAGTGCTTACTCTATTTGTTCCCCTTGAACACGCAACTCTATTTAAAAAAAAATCTATGTATGAGCACAAAAGCCTTTCTGATAATTCAGAGATTCCAACCGATTTACCAGTTTGATTCAAAGAGTGATTCAATTGAATCAGCCCTCAGACTGAAGCCTTGTACAATCTTGGTGTTTTTAGCTGGTCATCTCTAGAACTGTGTATAGGTAATCCTTGATTTATGACCACAATTGGGACCAGAATTTTCATTGCTAAGCAAGTTGGTTGTTAAGTGAGTTGCGCTTGATTTTACAACCATTTTGCCACAGTTGATAAGCAAATTACTGCAGTTGTTAAGGGAATCATATGGTCATTAAGCAAATCTAACTTTCACCATCGACTTTGCTTGTTGGAAGCTATCTGGGAAGGTTGACAGCAATGATCACATGATTCTCTGAACACTGCAACTATCGTAAATACACGCCTGTTGCCAACCACCCAAATTTTGATCATGTGGCCATGGTCTTTGGTGTGAGGACCAGTCATGAGTCACTTGTTTTCAGTGCTGCTGTAACTTCCAACAGTCACTAAGCAAGTGATTGTAATTTGAGGATTACCTGTAATGAAAGATAAACAAATTCGGTACAACTCTTAAACTCTTTTTACTTCTTAGTGCAATGGGACCTTTTCTTGTTGTGTGGAATTATGGAACAAACAGAGGAAATCTCAAATGTCCTCACTCTTTATCCATCTTAAATTAATTCTGTAGGTTGGTCATCATAGCTAAGAGCTGTTTGATTATTAAAGCCCCACCTAATTGTGGTTCCCTCTGCAGGAGGTCCATCTAGTACTAGAAAAGGGGCAGCTTCCAGCAGCCAGAGTCCAAGCTCCCACGACATCACAGTGCACACCTACAAACAAACCCAGTCATAGTGTCCTCCTGGAGAAGCCTGTGAAGAAGACTTCATGTACCAGAGAATACAACTTTGTCACTGATGGTGAGATTGTTTCTAAATACAACTGAGACTTTAAAGGAAAGATGAAACATAAGGTTTAGTTGGACTCATACAGTCTAATAAGTCTTCTTCTTCTTCTTGTGCCTTATCCGTTATCAGACGTTGGCGATCATGTTGGCAATCCTGTTTTTATCAGCAGCTGCACAAAAAAGTGCTGCTGAGTTTTGTCCAAACAAGTCCCTTAGATTTTGAAGCCATGATGTTCTTCTTCTGCCTGGACCTCGTTTGCCTTCAATCTTTCCCTGGAGGATTAAATGGAGTATGCCGTATTTTTCTGGGTGTCGCATCACGTCTGAAATATTCTAATTTTCGTTTTTTAATTGTTTTGATGATTTCCCTTGGCTTTCCCAGGCGGCTTATCCCCTCCTCATTTCTGATCTTGTCAACCCAGCTTATACGTAACAGCCTCCTGTAAATCCACATTTCAAATGCTTCTAGTTTCTTCAGGTGGCCTTCTGTCAGAGACCAACTCTCTACTCCATAGAGCAGGATAGAAAAAATATAACAATAAGTCATAATGTGGTTTTTTTCATTCTGGCTTAGCCTGATATACAAACTCTATTTGCAGTTATATTGAATAAAACTTACAAAAACAAATCAGAACTGAAGACTAGGTATGCACCAGATCTTTAGTTTTAGATTATCAGACATTTTTTTTCTTTTAACAGCCCTGTAATCCCTTGCATCAGGGTAGAGTCAGAGTGACTGAATGGAATTGAGCATTTACTGACCGGATGCCCTTCCTAATGTCTATGCAGTGTCCACAGCAGACAATAACTCATTGCACCCAAAGAAAGAAATGTCTGCTGCTACCTAGGATCGAACTCACAGCCTCCTGATTGTGAGGCGAGAGTTTCACTTCTAGGCCACCACGCCTCTTCTTTAGACTTTCAGACAATAAGAGCACAATACTAAAATCTGTACTGTCTTTGTTCTATTTGTCTACCTTTTAGAAAAACAGTTCTTTGGTTTGCATATCAATTTTTCTTCCCCTTTTATTTCCCTATTAAATGTGTATTTTTTTTTTTGCTTTTCATTCTTTGACCACAAAAAGAATGCTCTGCCTTTGAAATATAATCATGAATATACTGTGTCATTTTGACACTCTACATCAGTCTTCCTGAACCTACTACCATATCTGTGTACAGAGACTTAGATTTTCTAGCCGGCAAGAGTAACATTTCTGATTCTACCATCAACTGATCTGTTAAGTAATTTTTTGGAGCATTCAACCCAAATCTGCATTCCTGTAATTTGAGATTGTGATATTTATATCCAGGATTCTTACATGATAGAAAACAGTCATGTTATGTTATGTTATGTTAATTTTAATTTGTATACCGCCCTTCTCCCATAGGACTCAGGGCGGTTCACAGCATATTAAAAACAAATACTATACACAAAATACAAAAATACAGAAATACAAAAAATCTAAACCCCAATAAAAGCCGAATTAAAAACCAAATATTGCCAGCTGTGTTTCCGATTAAAATTACTTTTAAAATCATCCCTACCTAAAATCCTCCCTAGGTCAGGCCCGCTTGCTGGAAAAGCCATGTCTTGAGGGCGCGGCGGAAAGTAAGGAGATCCGGAATCATCCGGATCTCGGGGGGTAGTTCGTTCCAGAGGGTNCTGAGGAGGCCCGCTCTGTGGGAGCGTACCGGTCTATGGGAGGGAATCTGTGGCAGAAGGCGGTCTCGGAGGTAGCCAGGTCCGATGCCATGGAGCGCTTTAAAGGTGGTAACTAACACCTTAAAGCGCACCCGGAAGACCACTGGTAACCAGTGCAGCTCGCGCAGCAGCGGTGTCACATGGGAGCGACGAGTCCCTCATGACCTCTGTCAGCATGACACCAGTCTACTAAGGCTTTAAAGCAGGGGTGTCCAACCTTGGCAACTTTAAGACTGGCTGGGAAATTCTGGGAGCGGAAGTCCACAGGTCTTAAAGTTGCCAAGGTTGGACATCCCTGTTTTAAAGTAAGGCTACTGGCATGCAATAAAAGTTAACAGTATTCCTCATTTAAGATACCCATGCAAATAAGCAGATTTTAACATCATGCTGACAACGTGCTGGTTCCGTCTCTGGTTTATTCTGGACTTGTGGATTTCAATCTGTATTAGAAGGACAGGTAGTTTCAGGGGCAAGGAAGACCTCTACCCACCTTCAGCAGGTGCATCAGCTACTATCCTCTCAGCAACAATATGCTAGTCTTACCAATCCATGCCCTAAAAGTCTCTCATCTGGATCCTTCTGGGTAAGGATCAGTAGCCTTGAAGAGGGACTTGAAGCTGTGAGTGCTGCAAAACGTAGCTGCCTTTTTTGTTAAATGGGACAGCTAAATGAAACTACACTCATCCTGGAAACATGTCAATTGCCTGTGTCCCACTGTGTTTCTTTTAAGGTATTGATATTGGTTTATATAGTCCAATATGACTTAACAACCAAGTGCTTAAAAGATCTCCTAGCTTTCAATCTGGAAATCAGTTCAGGAAGTTCTGATGTTCTCACAACTACACAACTGTGTAGTTGCAGCCAAGAGTTGGACCTTTGCTATGGCAGTGCCCCAATTATGAAATTCTCTCCCAAGGAAAGTTTAACTGTGGCACTCTCAGTGTCTTGGTTTTTTTTAACAGTGACTAAACATATGCCTGCACATAGAGTCATCTGTAAATTATTGCAGAACCAGATTATTACTTGATTGTCTATTGTATTGCCAGCCTGCCTTCTTCAAATTGAACTTGGTTAAATAAATAAATAGATGTTTGCATTTGTTATTTTAAACATTATTGCTTGTATTGGAATGATGTTACTTAAGACTGCTGCACTGGGAGAAAGAGATAAACAATGCTTCGAACAGCAATAGATTAAATCATAATCTATTTTTCACTGCACATCTATAAACTATTTCTTAGCTCCTGAATTTTTTTATCTGTTCTGGAATCCTAATATTATTTTCAGCTGGATCTCTTTGAGTTTTTATGAAAGTTTTAAAATTGTCCTGTTTTCATATTCTTACAACATCCTAGGTCACGTCCCAAACAGCGTTCATTTTTCTGATCGTTACAGATATATCTTAGCTAATCGGATTCAAGAGAAAGGACGAGTGAGTGTGTACAGGTGAACTGTGAGCGTCTTTTGATGTGCAGTAACATGGCTCATTTCCTTTTTAGACAATACATTCGAGGTGAAACTCGTGAAAAACAGTTCTGGGCTAGGCTTCAGTTTCTGCCGTGAAGATAGCGTCTCCCCAGAACAGCCGGGTTCCAGTATAGTCAGGGTGAAAAAGCTCTTTCCGGGACAACCAGCTGCAGAGAGTGGGCAGATTGAAGTTGGAGATGTCATCCTGAAAGTCAACGGTTCTTCTCTAAAAGGGTTATCTCAGCAGGTTAGTACTTTCTATCCTGGCTTGGAATCAGTCTTTCATGCATTTGTGGTTCACTCAAAGATCAAGTGTGGCCTTCAGCGCAAAAAGATTGTATACCCCTTCTTTTAAGTGTTACCCTATTCATTGCAGGCTGGTGCCAAATGTAGCTGATGAATAATGTTTTGTCCTTTAGGAAGTCATCTCGGCTCTCAGGGGAACTTCCCCTGAAGTCACCCTTCTCCTCTGCAGGCCACTTCCTGGAATTTTGCCAGAGATTGATCCTACGTTATTGGTAAGAATTAAAAAGTATACTAGGCTTTTTGTGAAACCGGTGTCATAAAGGTTTCCAAATCTTTTGCATGTTCACCCAAAAGTATAAAGGTAAAAGTTTCCCCCTGTCCAGTCATGTTTGACTCTAGAGCAGTGATGGCGAACCGCAACCGCAACCCAGCAGTGATGGCGAACCGCAACCCAAAACCCATTTATTTATCGCAAAGTGCCAGGGCCGCATCAGCATTGTGGTGCCCGCAGGGGGGGACCTCTGAGTGCTGTTTATGGCACGCAAAACCCGGGGGCGCAAAAATGGGCCACCGTGCTGCAAGGCGCAAAAACGGCCGCTGCCGCACCGCAGGGTGCACATACAAGGTGCTGCATCACACAAGAACGGGGCAGGACTAGTGAGTATCACGCAGGCACTAGCCCCGCCCCATTTGCAGTGCAAAATACTTCCCCCTCCCTTTTCTTCCAGTCCAACAATGGTTGGTGACCTCTGCTCTACCACCTCTACTCGAGCTTGCTAGTCGGCCGCTTCGCCTCCTTTGTGCTGGGTGGGGCTCCTGCTCCGGGCGGCGGTGGCAGCCTGATGGACCTGCTGCTGGCGGTGGTGCATGTGCCAACAGAGAGGGCTCTGAGTGCCACCTCTGGCACGCGTGCCATAGGTTCGCCACCACTGCTCTAGAGGGCAGTGCTCATCTCTGTTTCTTAGCCGAGGGGCCCAGTGTTGTCCAAAGACACTTCCATAGTCATGTGGCCAGCAATATGCCGAGGTGCACAGAACTTGTTCCCACTGAAGTGATACCTATTTATCTACTCGCATTTGCATGCTTTTGAACTACTAGGTGGGCAGCAGCTGAGACAAGGAGCTGGAGCTTACCCTGCCATGCGATGCTTGGGTCTCGAACCCGGAGTGTCAGCTTTCCAGCTGACAAACTCAGGCCTTTAATCGCTGAGCCATCATGCCCATTCCCACAAGTATATTTTGGCTAATATGATATCAGAGACAAGAGATATGATATCTCCTGCTGTATAGGTGGTTACCATCAATAATGGGTTTAGTCATAAAGTAAACAAGCTATAGCTTAGGGCAGGGGTAGGCAACCTTGGCTCTTTTATGACTCGTGGACTTCAACTCCCAGAATTCCTGAGCCAACATGGCTCAGCTTGGAAACCTCTCCCTTTCCCCTCAGCATGGCTGGCTCAGGAATTCTGGGAGTTGAAGTCCACGAGTCATAAAAGAGCCAAGGTTGCCCACCCCCGGCTTAGGGCTTCACAAAATTTCATATTTTTGAGAATTGTTATGTGGCTTTTATGTCTACTGTAATTTTTAAAAATCTTGTCTTGCACATTTTTTATGTGTACTGTAGTTTTAAAATAACTTTGTATGCATTAAAGGGGATATATGTGTTTCAATGTTTGGTGGCCATCACAGGGGCCTGTTTTGGTACCCACTTTTGTGAGAGCTCTTGGTATAACTTTTTAACAAAAGATCTCTTTAAGTTTTACAAACAGTCCTTGACTGAATAACTATAATTGAGCCTGGAATTACAGTTGTAAGTCATGCCAGTTACTTACATCAGGGGACCCCAACTCCCAGTTTGTGGACCGGCACCAGGCTGAGGCATGCCAGAAACCATGCAAACAAGTGAAGCCCCATCCACAGGATGTAGGCCACATGCGAAACAATGGTCTGTTTTTTCTGGTCCGCAGAAAAAACTCTCCAGGGAACCGGTCCCTGATGCCCAAAAGGTTAAGGGTGGGTGCTGATTTTATATTTCTGCATCATACTCAAAGTCATCCTGTGTTTAGTCTGGCTGTACCCACTTACTAGGCACAGGCAGCTGTTGCCAGAACAAATCTAGCAATGTGGCTTTCCTGATTTTACAACATTTTCTGCTGTGGTCATTAAGTGAATCTCTATTGTCTTTAAGTTGTAAGCAAACCCATTGTCCGCAAACACTGGTGTCCAGCAAAAAAAAATATCATAAATTGTGATCATGTGTCTAGGACGCCATAAATGGACATAAATGCAGGCTGGTTGCCGAGTGCCCAAAATGTGATCACTTGACTGCAGGGGGAGTGTGTGAACATCATAACTTTGAATCTGAGTCGTAAGGACCTTTTTTGGGGGGGGGTTTGTCCTTTGGTCAAACAATTATTTTCTTCTGCTTATTCTAGACACCCATCCATTCCCCACCACAAATATTCCCCAAAGTGGGCAAAGGAAACCTACCACCCCCTAATGGAGAACAAGATGATAGTTCTGATGAAAACGAAGCCATTGACCAGAACAAGGTCAGGTCTCCTTCTCGGAGAGACAGCTACAGTGACAGCAGTGGGAGCGGAGGGGACGAAATCATCGCAAATGCAGCCAGCCCAAAGTGGAATTCTGCTTTGTATCAAACCCCAAGCAAGTCAGCAGCTCAAGCACCTAGTCCTTATGAGACATCCAGCAAGCAAAGGGAAGCAATCCACACAGCATTTTGCCCCCCTCTTGAATCATCTAGGAAGCAAGACATGGAGAACAGGCATGTTACATTGGTTGACTTTATAGCATATAGTCTTGCTTGTATTTTATTTGTTCAGATGTGTGATTCTGAGCCCTTACTGACATCTTCTTTGTCCATTTATCAAGATAGTGAATTTTGATTGAATTTTTGCATCAGCAGGGATGATTGTTGTTAGCAAAATGTTCCTAGCCATTGTTTAACACACTTTTCTTCCAGCTCATTTCTGATAATGCAAATGCAATGAGCTAAGACAGTGATGGCGAACCTTTTAGAGACCGAGTGCCCAAACTGCATCCCCAAACCCACTTATGCATTGTCGAGTGCCGGTGGATGTGGCCCATTGGGGGGCATGGCTGCGGTGGTAAAACGGCAGACTGAGTGGGACTAAAAAGTTCAATCAATCAATTCCAACTTTGCAAGATCTTTTTTTTCCCCGCGAGAAGTTGAAATTGACTTATTGATTGAACTTTTTTTTTTTTTTTGCACACGGCAGCGGAGGCCTAAACCGAAAAGGTTTTATAAAACCCAGATGAAGGCCTAGGACTGCGGCGACGACGCGCGTGCCCATAGAGAGGGCTCTGAGTGCCGCCTCTGGCACCCGTGCCATAGGTTCGCCACCACTGAGCTAAGAGAAAGGTTTGGGGGCTAAATAATCAGAGACAGAATGGAAAATTGCTCTCACCACACTCTTGTGGGGAAAATTATGCCCTCTTTCTCCCATATAGAGATAATCAGGGTGGGTTAACTGGGATGAAGTGTCCTGAAAGCCTTATTTCAAAGCTGAAAATGTAATACAATTAATACATTCAATTCATCCCATACCTCTGCAGCTGGCAACTGTATCAGCTCCTGTCAGTGACTTTGGAAATAACTCCCCCCCCCTTTTTTTTTTTTTGTCTTGTAGCAACCCTCCATCACCTCTGCTAATGGAGTTGTCACCAATATCAAACCAAAGAACCATCCCACTTAATTTTACAGAGGAAAAATTCAACTCTTCTCTCTCTGACTTCACATCTCCACAAGGCAGACTGGCGCCGCTTTTCAGTCAGCTTGAAAAACATGCAGATGAATATGAACCAGTAATTCCCTACTTTTTTTTCCTGATTGTCGATTGTGGGTATGGGTGTGGGTAAATTGCACAACGTGACAAAGTACAAGTTACTTAGCTACTGCTAAGAAGCTGACTAGAGGAGTCTGGGAGTTGAAATTCATACATCTTAAAGTGACCAAGATTGAGAAATGCTGGTTTGGCTAGTAGCCATGAAGTTCCCAGGTGGTTCTCCATCCAGTTGTTCACCATGCCAACCTTGCTTTGTTTCTAAGATCAGTCTGGTTTGACTATGAATGAGATATTCCTAATGAGCTCTCTTTTTGCCAGTATTAATTTGAAACAGGGGAGGAAAGAATTCTATGGCCTTGTAATAAGAACATTAACTCTCTTATATGGACAAAAGTCAAAGAGAAACTTGATAGAATGAATAGAAAAGGGAACAGAATGAAAGGTCAGAAGCTGAATTTTTGAAGATGGAAACAGAAAGTTTCATTCACCTTTAATCCTCAAAAACGTCAGTGTAGATCTTTTTGATTTGAAGAAAATCTGTTTTTTCAAGCAGAAAATTGAAGCTTGATGTCTCCAACCACACTGATGAATTGGTCCCCGGGAAAGTACCCCAACTTCCTGATTTACATACTTACAAATAAGTATGCTTTGCGCTGGTTTTCCCTTCCCTGCAGAAAGTTGCTGATGGTGTATGAAGATGGAAGGCTCTAAATGTGTACAAAAACACAAGGGAAAAAAAAGAAAAAGGATAGGATATCAGAAACAAAACAATAATAGTAAATATTAAAAGGTAGAAAAAAAGAAATGAATAAAATGTGTTCTATCAGGGAGACAGAGTTATGTGACGATGCTGGTAAAGTTAAGCTAAAAGTCAGTGTGATTTGAAAAGTGGACTAGGACAGGGGAAGCCCAGCTGAAATTCCCACCTCCTACTTGAAGTTCATTGCATAATATTGAATTATGCAGCAGTCCTTAGTTCAGGCAGAATTATTTGATCCCATTGTTGGGTGGATAAGTTGCACAAAAGAGAAGGTCTGTTCACTGACTTGAGTTTTGAAAAGATGGCAAGGTATAAAGTCACTCCTTAAAAATAAACCGCTGTGCTGCATGAAGACTGTCACGAGCAATAATCTACAAATGGTTCTTATTATGGGATCAAGATATCCATCCAGAAAGATAGTTGCCTACTGCATCACTGCTATTTATTATTCTGGCTTATCAGTCCTTCTGGTGTAATACCAGGCCTATATAATTCACCTTAAGTCATTGAGGACTGAACATCTTCAAGTATCACAAGAATCCTTAAAACAGAATTGTTTTGACAGTACAAATGAAGCATGCCTTCAGTTTTAATTTTAAAAACTTGTTCTTTGTGGATTGAGAGATGCCTGGAGGGCATAACAACACCATAGAGTGATGCTGAAGCAGCAGATTCTGTACAATGTCTCTCAGAAGTAACTTGAAGGACATGGTAGGTCTTTCAAGTTGGTATTGACGCGGAAGGTCATAATCAACATAGAAGATCCATGACTATCTTCCAGGTTCAATGTAGGACACCCATCATTGATTTTCCCATGTTTTATTTTTACTTACTGGAGGAAGAGAACCATGGGAATTTCTTTTCTTGCTATTAATATACTACTAAATAGAAGTCTCGAAGATGCTTTTTCAAAAGGCAACTGGGCATTGTTTTTCCTTAAAGACGTTTTGCTTCTCATCCAAGAAGCTTCTTGAGTTCTGAAGAAGTAAAGAAGCTTCTTGCATGAGAAGTGAAATGTCTACAAGGAAAAACAAAGTCTAGTTGCCTTTTGAAAAAGCACCTTTGGGACAACCATGACCTGGATGACTGAGAATCTCCATAGATGCTGAATGGAAGAAGTTTGTGTTTTTTGTATAAGTTAAATTACCTTTACTCTATTGAAAAAAACACAAGGAAAAAAGCTACTATGCAACTAAGAGAAACTTTGGGGAGGGAGATTTAAATCAATGATGTTTTTGACTCTACCTGGATCTACTTTTTCTACTACTCTGGTCAGATTTAGAATCTCCCTGTAGACCTACCCTTTAGATAAACCCCAGAAATATTTTTGGATCTGAACCTCCCATTTTATTTATCTTTTCCATTTTATATTTTTGAAAAGTTTGGAAGAAAATAACTATGCATAAGCTGTTTTTCCTGTACCCATATACAGATTTTATGTAATGCAGATATTGACTAAGCTATGTTATCTCCTCTTTTATGTTTTCCTGCTAGATGCACATTAGATGCTAGCTGCGTACAGTGCCGTTGTGCTTTTGACTCTGGTATATAATAAAAGTCTCTTGCTCTTTAGGAAGTGGAACTCCATGTAGTTCTAACTAAATCTGAGAAAGGTAGCCTTGGCTTCACAGTGACAAAAGGCAGTGATAATATCGGCTGTTACATCCATGATGTAGTACAAGATCCTGCCAAAAGCGATGGGCGGTTGCGACCTGGAGATCGTCTAATCAAAGTGAGGAACATTTTTTTCAAATCTAAAACATACTGTATATGCCGTACAAGAGAAAGGAATTTGGAGGGAACAGAGGTGGGATCTGAACTGCTACCAGAGCTCGTTAGGTTATGCAAATATGGATTATGCAAATATCTTGGACAACACCAGCTCAAAATTGTTGTTTGATAGCCTTTTTCTTAAGTGCATATCTGTTTGAGAACTATTTGAATGGTTCTTTGCAATGGCTTTAACGGTGGTGATTATTATGGTTTATTAAGCTAGTATCCTATCAACCTTCCCCCCCTTCCATTCAATCATACCGAATTCTCAGAGACTTCCTGGACAAGTTCCTGCAGTTTTTTTTTTGGCAAAGTTTTTCAGAAGTGGTTTGCCATTGCCTGCTTACTGGGGTTTAGAGAAAGTGTCTGGCCCCAGGTTACCAGGCTGGCTTTGTGCCTCAGGCAGAAGTAAAATTCATGATTTCCCAGTTTCTAGC